ATACTCACTCTCATAGACCTGCAGGTATATTGATTTTTCAGTCATAATTAAAAATGTTGAATGTTATTATTAAGCAATATAATTTCTTTTTAAAAAAGAGTTATCCTAAGGATAACTACAGGGACTAAGTTTATATTTGTAATCACATCTTTTTATATTGCCAGAAAATTCAAGCCAAATTTAATTCCAATTGTAATCAGTGAAGAAGTAGAATAGGACATCATTGCAACAAACAGGTGTCATAAGTGAGTTTTTAAAAATCTTATAGCATTGGATGGAGTAAAATTTAATTCCCTAGTACCATGTCTAACTGTGCCACGCTTTTAATTAGGATAATCTCCTATTCTTTAGTACATTACCTGTAAAGAAACATTTTTATTGCAAACTATTTAAAACTTACAGAAAAGTGCATAAACATATAGATACAGATTAACAGAGGCATAAACAAAACTTCCCAGGTCACAAAATAGGACACTGCCAACATCACAGAAGCCCCTGCTGCCACTCCTTGTATCCCTTCTTGATCCCAAAGCCCTCTTTATTCCCTGCTCAGGTAATTACTCTTCTAAATTTCATGGTAACTATTTTCTTGATTGTCTTTACAGGTACACCAGTATGTATAGATCCCCAAACAATATGATCAGTTCTGCCTCATTTGGACTCTATAAATGGAATGGGTGGTATGCATTCTTTTGTGTTTTGTTTGTCCACACAGGATTGTGTTAAGATTCTTCAACTCATGCTCATTTATTTTCATTGTGGTAAGACATGGCATGGTTTGACTATACCGTGATTTGATTGTCTTCTCTACTACTGATGAGCATTTGGTTTATTTTCAGTTTGGGCTATAACAGAGTTCTGCGGGGAGAATTCTTGTCTCTCTCTCCTGTGTTCATATTCCCTCAGATACGTAGGAACATTATTCTTTCAGGGGATTAGATTGTGATCGCATTTTCATTCTAAAAGTTAGGGGAAATTATTCTGTCTCATCAGGTATGACAAAAATATTAATTACAGTCCTTTATCTCACAAATTTATAGCAAATGTTTAATATGAGGCCTAATAACATCATAGCGGATTGGAAGAATTTACAATGAGGAAGAAAACATTGATCCAGCCATTAGAGTCTTATAGCCCAGTTAGGGAGAGAGATGCTTAGCTATAGTTATAACAAAAGTTAGAAATAACTAAGTTTATTAAAGAGGCATGGGTAAAATGTAATGAGAGGCCGAAAGAAGGGGATGCTCCTTTACTGTGGGAGGAATGAGGAAAAGCCCTGGCTGGAGATGAAATCTGAATTTGTGCTCAAGGATAGATAGGAATTTGATTTGTATAGATGAGTCAAAGGCAGAGGGAATACCACAAAGACAAGAGAGGTGGGGAAACCAGGGGCATGTATAGAAACCTATGGTAATTCAACTTGACCAGTGCACAGGAGAATTAATAATTTATAATTATTTAATTAATAAATGCATTAATCATTTAATAATGTTTGTTGAACATTCTATTATAATTGCTCAGGGCAACTATAATACAATAGACAGCAGAAACAGATACGCTTCCCAGCCTCACGGAGCTTACAGCTTAGTGGGCGAGACAAACATTAATCAAAGAAGCATATAAGCAAATGCAAAATTGAGTCTTGAACAAATGTTTTGAAGGAGATACAGAGTTAATGTAGTAACAGCAGGATGTGTCCTAGCTGAGGAGAACAAAGAAGAATTTCCCAAGTAGTGAGTTCAGTGGTCCAGAGAGTAGGGAGCCTGAGGGAAAGTGGTTATTGCTCAGGTTGGAAAGAAAAGTTGAAGCCAGATTGATAAGCTTTATTTGGGAAGTTAAGGAATCCTGTGAACCATGGGGAATCAATGGGAAACCTATTGAATGCTAAATGCTAAAAAAAAACACAGGAATGAAACAGATCAAAAGTGGAGGGAAAAGCGCTCCTCATGTGCATGGGGCACCGGGAGTGTGAAGAGGCCTCTGAGAGAGTGAGAGAAAGGCGGTTGTTGTTGTTAGTTAGTTACCATCTAGTTTGGGTGGTGCAAATGGTTAAATGCTTGATTACTAGCTGAAAACTGGTGATTGGAACCCACCCAGAGGCTTCCTGGGAGTCAGGCCTGGCAATCTGCTTCTGAAAGTTCACACCCTTGAAAACCCTGTGGAGCATTTCTACTCCACACACATTGGGTCACCACAGGAGGAAGGAAGGTGGGACCAAGATGGTGAAGGACTTAAATGCTAAGCAGAGGCATTCCTCCTTAGACTCTGAGTTCCTTTGGTTCAGGGACCTTGTCTTATTCAATTCTGTATCAGACCAAGAATAGCGTCTGATGTTCAAACATTGGCTGAATTGACTTGAGTGAAGATTTTATTTTGCAGCTAACAGAAGTCACTGAAGACTTTTTTGCCAGGTAAATGATAATACCACCGGGTTAGTGATACTGATAAAAGTATGTAACAAGTGCTACTAAAGCAGATGTCTGATGTTCTGGAGGACTAAATTCTGCCCGGCGTTCAGAGATACCTTCCCCATGAAAGGATAACAGAATTAGACTCTGAAGGTAGAGTAAGAGAGAGGTGTGTTTCTCAAACTTCCCTAATGAAGGAATAATGAATGTGAGGGCATCTGTTAAAATATATAGCTTCCCAGGCCCCACTGCAAATCAAACTCATTGTCTTTGAGTCAATTCTGACTCATAGCAACCCTACAGGACAGAGTAGAACTGCCCCATAGGGTTTCCAAGGCTGTAATCTTTATGGGAGCAGACTGCCACATCTTTCCCCCACAGAGGGGCTGGTAGGTTTGAACCACTGACCTTTTGGTTAGTAGCCAGGCACTTTAACCACAGAGCCACCAGGGCTCCTCGGACTTATCCCAGACCAACTGAATCAGAGCCTGGGCACAGTATGGGCGTTTGGGCAATTGTGTTTCTTAGCAAGCACTCCACCTAATTTTAATTATGAAGAAAGTTTGGAAAACCCTAGGCTAGAGAACATTTGAGAGAAAAGGAAAAGCATATGCAAAAGTATGGCCATATGAAAGGGCCAGAAATTATTTTTTAAAAACGTTGAGAAGTTCAGTGTGGTTGGAGGATAGGGAGCCTGAGGGAAAGGGGTTATTGCTAAACCAGGCAGTACCCCCTTGTTCTGTTTGAACGACTGCCTCTTGATCCATGTACAAGTTCCTCATGGGCACAATTAAGTGTTCTGGAATTCCCATTCTTTGCAATGATATCCATAACTTGTTATGATCCACACAGTCGAATGCCTTTGCAGTCAGTAAAACACAGGTAAACATCCTTCTGGTATTCTCCACTCAGCCAAGATCCATCTAGAAAACCTGGTATTGACTGACTCATTTAGCTAAAATAAACACACAGAATCCAGGCAGGCCATGAATTCAGAGATTCAAGAAGGCCAGTAGTCTTGGAACTTGGATGGCAGTCCCGGCTCTTCTGCTAATCTGGGCAAATCATTTAACTTGGATGAACCTGTTTGTCTTAAAAAAAGAAAAGCTTTTTAATAAATAGCTAGATGATATCTTAGATTGTTTCCAGCTCTAAAATCTAAAGTTTGTCCTAAGAAATTCTAACGTGGAAATCTTACATAGATTTTATTCAAGAGTAAATTTTGAAGGAATGATTGCCGTTTTCCAATCCCACCCCTCCCCTTCGTCAATGAATATTGATCTGGGAATACCTAAAGCTATAAATGAGGCATTAGATACTTCTCCAGTTTCTGTAATGAGCACAGCTGATTGTCACTCATCCACTCTGAGTGGCAGCTGGTCAATGGAATGGCATCCATTGGTGCCCCACCTAGAAAAGCCTCTCCTTTTTCCTGTCCTTTGAAGTTGCTCCATAAGCACATGACACTTCCTTAACCCCAGGAGCCTTCCTCAGGTACTTGTGTTAAACAAGTCTGGGCTCTCTATGAGGACCCCGTGTGATTCAGGATGCACTCGGGAGCTTACGAGTTAGAAACTGTTTAATATTTTCTACTAGAACTAACCAAAAAAAAAGAAAAAGAAAGAAATACTTGCTTTTAAAAAGCCTAATGACTCCCTTGGAAAGGGAATTTATTTTAAACTATGTAATGAAGTAACATTGTTTTAGGATGAATCAGGAATTAGACAATGAGAGCCCCTGTATTTCACTTGATTCTTGCAATACTGTTAGTACTATTTCACTGTTAGTACTACTATTTTACTGTTAGCACTACTATTTTACTGCTGGTATTACCGTTTTACTGTCAGTATTACTATTTTACTGTTAGTACTATTTTGCTGTATTACTATTGCACTGTTAGTACTCCTATTTTACTGTTAGTACTATTTTGCTGTTAGTATTACTATTTTACTGTTAGCACTACTATTTTACTCCTAGTATTACTATTTTATTGCTAGTACTACTATTTTACTGTATTACTATTTCACTGCTCGTACTACTATTTTACTGTTTGTATTGCTAACAGTAGTAAAAGCTCAGGCTGCTAACCAAAAGGTCGCCGGTGTGAAGCCACCAGCCGCTCACTGGAGACCGTGTGGGGCAGTTCTACTCAGTCCTGTAGGGTTGCTATGAGTCGGAATCCACACCACGGGAATGGGTTTTGGTTTTTATTACTGTTAGTATTACCAATTTACTGTTACTAAATTAGAATAAAAATTATACTAATTAAATAAATGCTTCTGGGACCATTCTCGATTCTGGTTACGGCACGAGGGGAAGAGTGGCACGCAATTTCCCACCAAAGGGGCTGACTAGGCGAGGGGACTCCACCCCGGGAAAAGCACAGCCCCGAGGGACACCCCTCTGCCGGGCCGCAGGACCTGGAGCCTTCCCGCGGCTTCTCACCGGCCAGGCGCGCTCACGGGAGCCCGGCCACACCCCCGCACCGCCCATCTGCGGGCTCCGCCCCCTGTTCCGCCGCGGTCCCGGCAGGCGCCGCGCCACGTCGCCCCGCCCCGGCGGCTTCGCCCCGCCCCTTACGTCACTGGGGCGATGGCGGAGTTGGACATTGGGCGGCACTGTCAGGTGGAGCACTGCCGGCAACGAGGTGATCCGGGAGTCTCCGGCCCCGCTCTGCTTCCGCGGAAGGTGGTGGCGGCTGAGGGGAGGCCGCGGGCCCGGGCAGGGTCGGAGTGGGCCGGGCGGGCACGTCCCTCCTGGGGCTGCAGTGAGGTTGTGCCTTTTGTGTTCCCCCTGAGCCTTGGGAAGAGACTTGTGATGTCTTTGGAGTGGAACCGTGCGTTTCCTGGACACGTCCTTTGTAAATTGACTTATGGTGCGCCTTGCCCACGTCTGCGGAGGGAGGACCCTTAGGGCGCTTAGGTCCGGGAGCAGGAAGATTTCCGTTCCGCTCTAGCCCTGCCTCTGTGGTCCTGGGAAAGCGCTTCTGTTTCCCAGACTTTCTGTTTACACCTCAGACTATTCCACCCGCTGATCGTTATGCTCTCCCAGCTCTGCTATTCTTATCACTGAGTCAACGGGCATTTACCGAGCATCTATTCTAGGTGTTCGGAATACATACAGATATAAAATAAGAGTTGTTTTTTCACAGAAGAGCTTTCACCCCAGTAAGCTGAACTTTAGAAAGCATGAATAATCAGGTGATGGTCTCCCTCCATGGTACTAGAGACCTTACGGTACACATCGCCCAATCTGAGAGCCAATGGTGGGGTGGCACAGGCTTCGGGATGCCGCACACCTGCAGCAGGCAAGTCCCTGAAGGCCTCTGGTGCTAGCATTATAGCCCTCCACTACTGTGTTCAGTCTTTGATACCCGACTGTCACTCCAAATCTGTGCCATCACATTTGCCACATACTACAGAGGCTGGCAAAAAGGTTTCATCTCCCATTGCGGCTCCAGTCATTGGTAGCGGGTGCCTGAATCACTGTGTTGAGAAGGACTCTGAGGTTTAGCCAGATTTAGTAGAAGTGCGGTCATTGGGTAGTGATGCCTGCTGTGGATGTGGGCTGAAGGACTGTGACACAATCCGTGCTAGGCTTTTGTTACTTGTTGTGTGCCGTCCAGTCATTTCCGACTCTTAGTGACCCTATCTGACAGTGCAGAACTGCCGTAGGATTTCCTAGACTAATATTTATGGGAGCAGATCACCAGGTCTTTTCTCTCACTGAGCAGCTTGCGGGGTCCAGCCACCCACCTTCTGGTTAGCAGCTGACCATTGCACCACCAGGGCTCCTTTTGTTATTTACGTTGCTGTTGTATGCCTTCGAGTTGATTCTGATTCATAGCGACCCCGATAGGACAGGGTAGAGCTGCCCCATAGGGTTTCCAAGGAGCAGCTGGAGGGTTCGAACTACTGACCTTTTTGTTAGTAGCCTGAGATCTTAACCACTTCGCCACCAGGGCTCCCTTTGTTATTTATAGCACTCTGTAAGTGTATCTTTCACCACTGGATGTAATCCCCAGCCATTCAACAGGTGAGAGGCTATGTTTCCTTGCAGACTTTTCATATGGAAACTCGGTCAATGGGATTTTGACCGTAAGTTATGCATATCTGGTGTACCAGATTCCCCCAATGAGTCCAGTGCACTTATATTCCTTCTGTGACCTAGTTCATCTTCCTCTCCATCTTCAGGTGTCTCTTAAAGATGAGGCCAGGGTCTAGGTCTTTGGGACTTAGGATTTAGAGTATGTTAAGTGGGGGTCCTAAATTTCATTTAGCTTCTGGGTGGATAGAAGCATGGTGTCAGATGCCAAGAAATGATCTTGATTATAACTCTTCCTCTTGATTTTCCTCTAATACTTACTTGGTCACCAAAACCCACCAAATAGCAAACATGTACAGTGTTTCCAGCTTGAAAGAGATATAAAGGTTTTGTAGCATATCACATTCTTAGCTTCCTTATTGACAGGTGTACACTGTATCACATCCCTAGCTTCCTTCTCTTACTGACACATGTATACAGCATATCACATCCT